GGGGGAGACAAAACAGGGAGTTATACAAATGACACCTCCTTCCAGCTCAACTGGACCAGGGTCAGTTGATGGAGGCTTTGCTGACTTGAACCGGGAGACTAAACGAAACATTTGTTCTTGTTTGTCTTATTCTGAGGTGACATGAAATACGGAAATTTCCACTGGGTGAGAGGATCAACCATGTCAAAATAAAATTATCCTAAAAAACTGGAAACAATAAAATACTGAAAAGGAAAGGAAAGAACAAAACACAAAAACTCATGCCAATTAAAAAAAAACCCAACAATCTCAAAAACATAAAAATCTGAAGAAGGGGCAAAATAACCCTTTGGCTTTCCGGTCATAAAGAACAAGGCATGCTTGAGGAGAGAACAGGACACATACATATGTGCCTAAAAGAAATGACTATTATAGATTCAAGTTTCGGTAAATCACCTTCGGTGAAAAGCTAAATTTTAAAATAAAACCAAACCCCAAAAATCTTCCTTCCATAACAATTGAGGAAATATGACAATTTCTTTGAACAAACATTTTTTTGGGTAGATCTCAAGCTCTCCACTAAATTTTTAGAGCCATCATTATTCGGCAAAAGAGAATGAAAAGAAAAATCCAAACGCTCGGAACTATATTTCTTTAAAAAGTTATACGCTTCTTTGAGTTGGCTTAGCATGTTCTTGAATAGTAAACAATTTAGGAGAGAACACCTAACAACCAATAAAGGAATTTGAAATAAAAATGAGAGAACAGCACAGACAGCACAACAAACCACCATGCACTATGCATCTCTCTTGTAGGAATTTAAGGCTTGCAATTCATAAAATTTTCATCCACTGCAGTACCCATATCGCTACAAGACCGCTACTACTCCAATGGATTAGTAAAATTAATATTTAAGTTGCTCTTTAATAACCCAATCCTCTTATTAAAAATAAGTACAGTAGCCTCCGCCAGAACAAATGGTGCTTGGGAGGGCTCCTTAGCATGCGTTTACCTTAACCTGTACAAAATGGGGAAAGACACAACCATCTTATGACCTTGATTTTAGTCACGATTTAAAAGGTGTTACGACAAAAAGTTTATACGTGATTTTATTATTTTGACGAGAACCCAATTTCACAACGACGCCACAGATAGTATTAATACCACAGATACACAACAACAATACACATGCCAGAGGACATCCTCCCGTACAAACCTGGATAAAGGTGCTGCAGTTGGGACACTGTTTACTGTTGGACTCCAGCCATCGCTCGGACCGCGTCTCCTCCAGTGCACGTTGGATTACCTGTTTGCCGTACCTGACCTCTAGTTCTTGTTTGCGAGAAGCGTTGCTCGTCTCATATTCCTTGCATATTGTGGAAAACATATCTGTGCACGGAAAAAAGTAACACAGTAACTTTAAAAAAAAAAGAAACATGAAAATAGTAACAATAAAATGCAGAACATGTTTAGGGTAACTGATTAAACATTGAAGCAGACAAGTAAAGAGATAATTTTAGTTTTAGTTATAGTTTCATGATACTTGCAAAACAAATAGGTGATTTATAAGGGTTGAAAATTTGAGGTGTTACAAGTGAGTAAAAAACATAGAAAGATGTCTGAGCAAATCACACTAGAGCACCCGCCAACAACCCATGGAAAAAGAATAACACCAAAAAGAGTTTTTTTAAAAACCCAAACCACAGGACAGAAAATGGTAAACATAAAATGCAGAACGTGCCTCAGGTAACTGATCAAACTTTGAGGCAGACACATAAAGAGTTTAGTTTAAGTACAAGTTTTTACGGCATGTGCAACACAATAAAGTCATATAAGTGCCGAAGATTAGAGGAGTTACAAAAGGGTAACAAACAAAAAATAAAGGAAAAGAGAGAAGGACGAAAGGTTTTTATAGGAAAGAAGAAGCAAACCACACCAGAGCACCTGCCAACCACCCACAGATTTCTGGTTAATATAATGACTCAACAGATCATGCAGCTAATTCCCAGAGAGCAAACGTACCGGCTTTGAGCTTGCAGGGTGTGTGACCGTGATAAGTATTCTGACAACGGCCGCAGAAGGCATGCTTGCACTTTGGGCACAGTCCCAAGTTGTCGTCCATGACGACGGGAAACTGGCAGAAAGGACGTGGGCAGTGAGAAACATCTCTCATCGCGTCGAACGCATTCTTGAGCAAAAGTCTGTCATAACGCTGGTACAGCTCAGGGCTCACAACACTCGCTACCTGAAAACGCAAAATTGCGAGAACAAAAACATTTTCTATTATTTCTCTTCAGGATCAGGAAACATGCCATGAGAAGATACAAATATGTTGTCCTTCATTATCTCAGTCGCCTTTGAGCCCCCATCCCCTTCAGCTAAACACCATGACAAAAAAATGTGCTGACACAACAGTGCAGAGAGAAAAAAATTATTGGGTTGTCTTCCCAAAAATAAACTACTTTTAAACCATAGAGCTGATATAAAAGTTGCCAGCATAGAACTCACATACCACAACTCTTTACAAGAGTTAAAAATCGATCCCATCTATTCTAACAAGCAAAGAAATCTTAAACTTTCTAAACTATCTTTAATCATAACAAGTTACTGTTAAGTTGGGAAGATAGGGTGAATATGTTTCACTCATGTGTTTAACAGCTCCCTAACCCATTTTCTTGACATTTTGCCCCAATTTGTATTTCAATTAAGAAAGCATAACCAATGAGTTACATATCCACAACCTCCCCCTCCCCCCCCCATGTCAGGTTGAGATTGCACTCCCCCATTCCCATCAAAATACTGGTTGAACAAAAAGAGAAAAATAAAAAAATTTTTGAAAACATCAGACCATGACTTTAAACTAGCCCTTGAAGGTCATAAGGAAATGGTGCCATTTTGACAGGGAAATTCAGAGACTTCTATGGCTTTTGTTCCAATCTAAAATTTACTCCATGTAGAAAGCAGAAATGTGTCTTACAGCCCTGGTGTTGTGTTCTCATCTATTTTTGTTTTAAAAACTGGTGGAAGATGTGTATAGTATACTGTGTCTGTGTATGTGTATGTGTGAGAAATTAGGGGGGGGAGACAAAATTACAACATACCTCAGTAGGAAGGACCGACTTGTCACATTTGTACCCTGGACAAGTGAGGTCACTGACTGCACCCTCCTTAATCTGTTCCTCAAACCAGCCACCCATGCAGCTCTTACACAGGGTGTGGTCACTGCAGCTCACCAGGCGAAGGAATTTCTCTCCTGCCTGCTCCTCAAAACACACCTCACACGTGATAAGGTTGAAATCAAGCACCTGGTGATTACAGAAAAGAAAACAACAAAAAAACTATTGTACAGCAAATGGATGGTACAGTCCAACCTGCTCCAATGGCAACCTGTCCAAGACAATATCACCTGTTGTTAATGACCCAGCAACAGCTGGGCTCTCGGCCTTCTGTCTAGACAATCACCTGTATAAACTACCACTTCCAACTTCCCAACAGTGAGTTTTTTAAATATCAAAATAACACCGTCCATGATGTCCACCTGTCTAAGACGACCACTTTTCTCCACGACAATGGGTGGCCATCTTGGAAAATTTTGACTATTTGTGAATTTTCTAGAGCTCTACAGGACAAAAAGTGAACCATCTCAAAGCCCGAGAACCTCCATTCTCAAACAAGACACCAGACATAGAGGAAACATTTCAGGAAGGTATACAAAACCTAGACAACTGAGGTCATAACCTCAAATTTTTTTTCTCCAACATTGAGTAGCTCACAGGTCCACAGATAACTTGTCCCCCCCTCCCTAACACATTGTAAAATAACTCTTGCACTTAAAAATACGAATCAACTACCATGAGCTGTAGCGCCAGGAACAAGTGATTATCTTCAGACAAAGAATACAATCCACTAGACTCAAACATCACACGAGAAGCTGTCTGGACCAACAGAAGGAACTTTTTAGCAGGGCAGCCCAGTAAACGATAGATACTGGTCTTCAAGTGTAAAGCCATCGAGAAGAAGAAGTTTAGTTTTAGTAAGGTTCTACAGCGCTCGAAACTGCATAAGGTCAAGTGAGTGCCAGAAGAAGAAGATGAAGAAGAGTAAGTATAATAATAGATCGCTATTGAGTACTACAGCCGTCCAGATGAAACGTTCCTCACAGTGCAAGTTTCATGCCAAAAGACCAAGAAGGATCCCAAGTATTTCTATACAACATGATTAGGACTTAACTCGCTTCCCCCCCCCCCCCTGACTTCGGGGGTAACTGGTATACTCATAATAATGCACCCAGTATGTTTTTCGACTAAAACAAAAAAACATGAGGTCCAATGTTCTCAGTAAAAACCCTTTGAACATTCTATTTAAAACTTTACCTCAAAATAAAGAAACTTGGGTCAATATAAATAAGACTACATTAAGAAAATGAGATTAGGTAGCCAGTGAAGAAAAGCACATTGCACTCTTGAAGGGGAAAATAGAAATTTACACGAATGTTGATTGTTTTGTGGGTCAGAAAACCTACAGACAACAAATTCTAAGAAATATTAGGGAACACAGAGAAATATCTGGAACTGTAGGCCTACACATTGAAAACACACAAAATAATTTTTAGACATGGCGGATTTTTTCTGTTTGTTGGAGAAGTGTGTTCAAATTGAGCAAGCAACATTTTGCTCTTTACGAACAGTAATAAGAAAAATGAAAAGCCGTAAATGCAGCAGTACTTGTCTTTTTAAATCAACTCTGTGAAAGATATATATGATGAGATTGTAAATATGTACAAAATTGGTAACAATCTAATGATTTTGAAGTACTTTGAAGAAAAAAAAACAAAAAAAACACAAGCCTAACCCTACCTTAGGTAGCACTTCGTCAATATTGCTAAAAGTTTGTATGCCTCGTTGATCAAATGGCTTCTTTTTCAATGGTGGAGGATAGTGCTCGGGGTAGGAAGACTTGGCAGGATGCGTAAAAACATGGGTGAGAACTCTCCCTAAATCATATGGCGACGTCAATCCTGAAAAAAAAAAAGCAATAATGAAACCATAAATGTGAGGCATCGCAATCAAATCAGGTACTCGTCAAAATAATGACGTCAAAGATATCACCATTTTCCCTCCAGTTAGATCAATTTTTTTCTGATTTTTGTTTGTCGGTTCAACATCTTTCGTGTCCATTTAAAGACATATTTTTGTGCGGATTTTACTGAACAACATTGATTAAAGTCACATCTAATGTAAATTTTCAGTTTCCAGGGACTCTCAAGCTTTGGAAATCAGCAAACTTTGGCGGCCATTTTTAAAATTTAATTTTACTTCTGAAACCAGGCAGCCCCAACCTCTTTCAATCACAAATATCTTGACTTCTCTTCAAGATAGGCGTGTATTTTTTTTATATCAAAAGATAGTCAAATGAACAAGCTTTAAGACCATACCAATATCTCCAGATGCCCAAAAATTGATGAGCATCTGATTCTAGGGCGTCGTGACACAAATTGTTAAATATTTGAAGTATTAAGTTCAACAAAAAGACAAAGTGAGCTCTATTTCTCAACAAGGACAACCTACACTATTTGAGAGGCAAGTGTACGAAACCAACATTCATCCTGAGTAGATTGAACCCCCCCCCCCCCAAAAGTATCGGGTACAGTAAACTATAACAGCGACTAAATTGACATAGTCAAAAGCCACTGAAACTAGAAATACAACTTCAAAATTCAAAGAAAATGACCAAAATAAGTATCACCACCCCCCCCCCCCCCCCCATCAAAACAAATACAGTCGAACCTGCCCTGACGGCCACCTCTATAAGACAGCCACCTGTACAAACGGACACTTTCCATTTCCCCCCTTGCGTTTTTTCTATATAATTTAACTGTGCAAAAAGGGCACCTGTCCAACGCGGCCGCGGCCACCATATTTCAACACACAACCCCTATCACACAAAGCAATAACACCTGTCTTAGGCGGCCACCGAAGTGACTCCATTACGCTTTGTCATAAATCAAGCATTAGCCCCTGGCGTTGTGGGCGAGCCATCATAATCTAAAAACCGGTCGTTGTTAAGTAGTCCCTCCAACTGATCATGTTGCGTAGGCCCCTCCCACTGTTGACCAATAGGTAACAAAATTAATTTTCAGCTGCTGGGGAGGGAAGCGTGTTATCCCTCATAACCCATGAGCCCCGCCCAGAACCCATACACAAATCGTAAGTGAGATGAGAGGTCACTGTTTACCCAGTCTGTAACAAAGTAACAATGGACGTCAGCATGAACTTGTGACAGAAGCGTCGCTCGTTCTCCGAGTGGTAGCGACACGTGTTTGTTTTACCACAGCACTTGGTCCCCCTTGTCTGACACATTTCGTTTTATTGTAACCCGTGCACAAAAGCAGCAACAAAAGAAAAAAACCCCCCAGCAAAAACAACAACAACAATGCAACTAGACCTACCTTCGGTTGGGACCTCAGGAAGGAAGGGTTTGTTTTCTCAGATACGAATGGTTTGTTTTCTTCATCTTGATCAGTCCTGCCTAAGACGGCCACCTGTCTTATACGGCCACTTTTCTCCTTGACAATGGGTAGCCGTCTTACACAGGTTCGACTGTACAATCATTCCTCCATTTCGTTAAGACTACTCATAAGCAAAATTATGAGAACAGACAAAAGAAGGAGGGGAGACAAAGAAGATACAGAGACGTATAAGAAAGGGAGAGGAAGACAAGGAAGATGGTCAGAGGGAGGAATGAGACAAAGACGATGGTGAGGGGTAGGGTCTATTAGAAGCAGAAAAAATGACTGAAAAGATATGGAGAAGGGCAGGAGATACGACTCGCGGAAGAGAAAGACTGACAGGAAGAAAAAGAGGGTGGGGAGTGAGAGGGGGCTGAGAAAGAGAGCAGATGGGGAGGGTAAGAGATAACATGTTGAGCGTTGCTCCAATGAAGTCTGAGAGACTAATTACCTAAATGTTCCACAAGTTCCTCCTGCAGAAAGCAGACCCAGTTCATTACAACTGGAGTACCCTGGTACTGTTCCCATATGGAGTCCAACTTTTCGCACAGTTTTGTTAACTGAGGAAAAATACATCAAAATGTAAATATAATGTAAAGCAACTGTACCTCCAACAACTTTTTATTTGGCTGTACATGAATGTATGTGAACGGAATATTTTTTTGTCATTTATCTTTTAATAATTCATTTATAGAGGCACCAGCCATCAATGTCAAGGTGTTGTTCCAGCCTATTGTCAGTAAACAGGCGGACAAGAAACAACTCCCCTCCCTCTTAATGACAAAAACAGCCTGATACTTTCATCAATTTTCATTTTGTCCTAATAAGTGACAGCGTACCTTAAAAAGACAAAGTTACTGACCTTGGCCAACACTGGTGCTGACCTGGCCAAAACGAAAGAAGTGACCCAGGACATTATCCTAACCATCACTGAACTTTCACACAATAACAACACTTTAAGTTTTAATATATATGACAAAAAGGAAAACAATGCTGTGCCCTTAAACGGAAAAGTAGAACTGCAAAAGTCTAACGTCTTTCAATCAAAAGCAACTGATCTCATTTAAGCAGAATTAAACAGGTTAGGCCATAGAGGAAATCTGATGTATGTACACCTTCTGAGTTATTTCAGTTTCTTACGCTATTTTTGTCCAGCCAGCAGCAGGAGAGGGTGAACTGTGGGGGACTAGTAGTTGGGTAGTCGTGCGGGAAAGCAAAGGTCAAGGTCACCGGGGGCAGGCGCTTCACCGGGTACAATTTGGGTTCTTCTGGTGCTGCTTTTTCTGATTCGTCACCACTGACAGATCCTCCTCCTCGATTGCTTTCCATTTTTTCCCTAGCTTTTTCGTAGATCTCGTCAGTTTTGAGAAGCTGTCTTTCTCTACGTCCTCTGCCCCGCACTGCTTCGGCATGACGGCCAAGTCTCCCTGAAACAATAAGCAGCACAACATAACCGCACTGATTTATTGCGATTAATTAAATGTAGAGGTTTACTACCCAGAAAAATGGAACAATAAATAAGAACATACTACTGAAAATTTTTAACTGCAGTTCCTTTGTAGAGAAATGTCCATCACCAAAGAGCATGCAAGAGTGTGAAATGCTTCATGTAGGGTACCTGGCCCAAATACAAAACATAGCATTATCCAAAACAAAATCGTCCAAATTTGAAAAAAACCCCCAACAAAGCATGTACTCAATCTAGCTTTCACAATCAGAGGTAAACATGTGAGTAAATAAAATGTTCAAAAAACTTGAATACAGTACTCACAAAATGCTAACCGCTTGATCCCGGCAAGATCCTTTGTGATCTTCACATTAAACGGTTGAGGTGGAAAGATAGGAATGTTGAAAATGCCACCTGAAGGAAAAACAGGAAAAGTAATGCATTTCTAAAAATGATGAGCCCATGATAATCCAACAACACACCAAAAGATTACATCAACTGTGTAAATTAGATAAAAAGAATGAACAGAGAGAAAAAAACTTCACAAAACGACAGCAATACATATCAACATAACTCAACATCAAACAAAATAATTATCATTTAAAACTAATATGTATAGAACTGATAGATATCACAGGACAGCAACCTGTAATATTTCCTGAGCTAGCTATTCCACAAAAGTTGTTTAAAAAATGACTTTACCTACTGACCTGAGAAGAAAATGAGCTAGGCCTTAGATATTCTAGATCTCCCACAATAAGCAAGCAGTCCCCAGATAAGCTAACTTTTCCTCACATCCATATGCCCTGGATTGGGAGGTTTTCGCTTCATCGTGTTCATGAAATCCCATATGACCTCACCTGGCAAATCTCTTTGTGAATTCTCATGCTCACAGATCTCAATATCCTCATTCTCATAAATGGCTTTCAGAGCAATAAGTTCATTGACCTGATCCTCCAGGTCTTCTCCCTCTGCCAGCCTGGGTTGAGCAACATCCAGGACACTACCAGCTCCTAAGAAAAGAAAATCAGCAACTTATAAAACAAAAATTTCAGTCAATAAAATGTCTGGATAACATGTGTATCTGACAGTAGCACAATTTAAAGTACAACTCTATACCTATTAAGTCTTTGAAGACTTTGCAAAGTTTCTTCTCACTTTGCATTGTGGGATAAGACTCTAACCACAGTTCATCCCTGAACTTGAATTATTACCTCGATACATTTTCAAAAGAAAATTTTAAAATCTGTGAAATGAACTGAAATGTCCTGTAACACATTGATGAAATCCTCAACTGAGCAAAAATCAATACTTCAATAAAAACAAGGAAAGAAAATGAAAGAATGGAGCGAAAAATTAAAATATGACAGGCCATCAGTGAAGAGAGATGTGGTTATGGTCAGGTACTATATCAGATGGTAGTGGCCGGCACTTGATTGTAATGCATAACAGGGCATAGTAAAAACTGTAAAAACTGCAAAGCCATTCTTTTTGTCCATTAATATCAGGTGGTTAATTATTAAAAAACAAAAACAAAAAAAGAACAAACCTCGGCTGTTTTCCTCAGTACACCCTTCAGCCATTCCCACTCAGCATCGCAACAATAGTTAAGTACAGTGGACAATGTCTCCTTGGACTCTTGACAGCTGAAAAAAAAGAAGAAAAAAAAAGATATTCCCCCATATTATAATTATTTCAATGATGTTTGACAGTCACTGACACAAAATTACAGACAGATATTGCCAGCTATTACCATTCAGTAGTGAAAGTGCTAGTACTAGTCAGAAGTGAAAGTGCTAGTACTAGTCAGTAGTGACGGGCACACTTTTTATTAAAGATTTTGTTTTACAAAGTTTTATTTTAGTGGCTCGTACTTATTACAATCTAAACCTTGACTTTTAGGCAAGTAGCTGTACTTTTAACAAGACATTTGATCTTTAGAAATAACAATGTCATTATTCGAAACCTGGGGTGCCAATAATCTGGTCATTATTCGGACCATCCCCCCACCCCCCCTTTTCTCCAGCTTCCGTATTAAATTTTTTTATTTTATTTTGACCCCCTGGTTCCAGTTTGAGCACTGATTTTCAAGAGCAGTCTCATGGGGACGGACAGTTAGCACTTCTTGTACAATCAATTTACCCCCCCCCCCCCCCAAACCAACTCGCCAATAAGTTTTATACTTCACCCCGGGTGGGAATATACAAATGCAGTCCATATTAACTCTTGTCCTGCATCTGTGCCATGATGCGAGTCTAATAAGTAACTTTTTGAACATACCCAGCAGGCTGCTGAGGTCATTCAGCGTGTACAGTTAGTGTACAACGAGCGGCTCTAGAAACTTGTGTTTTCGTCGTGAATTACCGTGGGGGAGTGTAAATGATGTAAATCAATGATGAAAATATCACTCAATATATCTATTTATAAAAATGGCTTTCTTTTTATAAAGTGTTATGAACACATGAAATACCCCCTTGTTATAAATGATCTGAGGTTCGGAAGGAAATAACGGTCAATTTCCGAATGTTTTGCTCTCAACCTTTCTACCTTCAAAACTATCAAATAAGCTTATTTTTATCCGATAATATCATTGTCTTGGGGAGGAGTTCCGCAGAGGGCCAGCACTTACCGAGAGGTCCACTGAGCAAACTATACAAGACTTAGGGTTAGAGTTAAGGTTAGAATTAGGGTTAAGTTTAAGAGTTAAGGTTAGGGTTGGGGTTAGAGTTAGGGTTGAGGTTAGGATTAGATCTAGAGGGGTTGTTGGTCGGCTGACCGGCCCTCTGCGGAACTCCCTCCTTTTCTTGAATAAAAAAATCAAGCTCATTTGAAAGATTTTATAAAGTAAAACAGAAGTCTTGCTTTCCGGCAAATTCTGGTTACCCTTTCGCTAATAGAAAGTATTCCGAAATTAGGAAAAACAAGTCTTGTTTCAAACCGGGTGAGAATAGCCTACGGTGGCAAGTCTCACCCGGGGTGAGAGGTTTCATCGTATTTCTATTCTCACCCCGGGTGAGAATAGCCACTTCCCGGTGTGAAACAAGACTTGTTTTCCTAATTTCGGGATACCTTCTATCGATGTGGATGATCAAATGGATAACGGCAAAGAAAAGATTACGTTATATAGCGTAAAAGTAAGCTAATTTTATCGACTGCAAAGATGCTATGGCTACTTCACTTTTTGAATCGAGCCGAACTACGGGGGTCGCCATTTTGTTTTGCCCGGAAGTTCTCGCAAGATCTACTCCTCCCCTCTTCTCTCTTTCTGAATACTGTCTATCGGTGTAGACGATCAAATTGACCAAAACAAAGTTTAAAAATGATGTTAAAACACAAAAGTTAATTAATTTGGTCGTGTACAAAGATGCTACGGCTATTTAACTTTTCGAATCGAGCCGAACTCTGCGGGTCGCCATTTTGTTTTGCCCGGAAGTTCTCGCGCTACTCCTCTCTCTCTCTCTCTCCACTGCCCACAGACAAAATTGTACGCTTTTAGTAGGCTAACAGTACTAATGGAACGTTTGTTTACGGCACAGAATTCTACAATTTTTCTGTTATCACAGTGTAGAATTCTGTGGTTTAGGGTGAACGCAAAATTTGGTGAACGCGCACCGGGTGAGAATAGCCACAAGACTCGCCTGCACTATTCTCACTCAGGGTGAGAATAGAGGTGGCCTAAGATACGCATCTGGGCACAGACGCAGGATATAAGAGTTAAGGGAAGGACTTCCGTAACGAGCGACCACCCCAACAAACACAATAAAGAAGACCGTACTCAAATCCTACCCCTCTGTACTATTCTACTGTCCCATAGATCTAGATATCAAGAGGTCGCTCGTTTCGGAAGTTCCTCCCAATCTGATTCTAATTCTAAGTACGAAGTGGCTAGCCGTACTTAAGTACGGCTAGACTGAGAGTCTAGCCGTACTTAGATCTAGGTTTGGCCCTATCGACTCAAGCCTGTTAAGTACACAGGTCTCATTAGATCTAGATCTAGTAATTATTCAGGTTCAAATACATGCAAGTCAGTAAGGCACCTTTTGGTTTTGTCTGAAATACAAATACTTTAGGCATTGCAAACTAAAAATTTCATTTACAATTCAGCCATCAATATTAAGTACGGCTAGCCTGACAGTCTAGCCGTCCTTAAGTACGGCTAGCCTGGCTGTCTACCCGTACTTAAGTACGGCTAGACAAGAAGTCTACCCGTACTTATCTTAGGCCCTATTAACATTAGAAAACAGGAGGACATGCACTGTCATTAAGGCACCTGGTTTCGTCTCAAATACACAAATACTTTAGGTACTGAACACTAAAAATGTATAGATCTACGACATGTATTTACAATTCAGTAGGCCCATTTTTTGTAAAGGCCTCGTTTTGTAAATGGTCAGTCTAGCCATCATATTAAGAATAAGTACGGCTAGACTGCGAGTCTAGCCGTCATTAAGTACGGCTAGCCTCTTCCTTCTAATTCAAGTAAGCACCTTTTTTTACCTTTCGATGACGATATCAATGACAATGATGTCAATCGGACTCAAACTCAATGGGTAATAATGCCTGTGCCAGTGAAGTTGTTCGCTTCCCTGTAGTTTTTTCACGTGGAACAACGAGGCAACGGGAAGAAATCAAAAAGCACTGTTGAAAAATAAAGTCGAATGTCATGTCATGTGTGCATTGAATTGTGCATGACTCGCGCTGCTTACTTGCGTTTTTAATTCTTCGCCGAGCATCCAGCATGACAAAAGCAAAACATTACGTTTTCAGTCCAGATTGTTCCCAGTGGAAATGAAACAAATTAACTTCTCAGCCACCTTCATCTTGTGAAAAGTTATTTTACAAAATATAACCTGCAAAAATTAAGTTGACTCTCTTATTCATTTATTTTAGTGGAAAAGACAAGAAAACATTCTTACAACTACATTACAACAAATTTCTTTCTCAAAACATAAACATTTTAAAACACGCAACATTAAGTAAGAATGAACACAATCTGGGCATGAAAATCTGGCTAAGGGAGATCACTCGCATAAATTTTTGGTTAAATAATGTTATCCCGGAAGTGTAGCTTCAGAGAGGCGAGAGAGAGGTGTATCAACTTTGTAGTTGTTGGCCTACCATAATTTTACTGCTGTGTAGACCAGAGAATGGTGAAAATACGAGGGTTATGAATTTATGAATAGTCTGTATAGTTTGTGCTCGATAACCGGTTAGTCTTTAGAGCTCACTGAATTGCATGCACCAGGAAGTACACTCAACATGTCGAAGCAACAACTTCAGCAGACGCTGTTTTTGCCCAACGATGAACGTCTCATCACTATGATTCCAGTTTCCAAAATGCCAAGAAAGACAAATTTGAAAAAGAGGAGCAGTCTACTTTGCGTAGTGTGTAAGTTATTATGGCATCTGTAAAAGGCTGCTGGTGTTGGATTCTGAAAACGATAAAGGGCAAAAAGGGTCCTCCCCCAGCAATTGTTTAGGCCTACTTTCTCGAGTTTAAAATTTCCGGTGGCGGTAACCTTCCCCTAGATCTACCCCCAACCTTAAGGCTAGATCCACATCAGTGTCGGGCCTGACGGTCAGACCCAACTCGACAATTTTTTGCTGGCTGTGCTGCCCATACCGCCAACAGTTACAGTACTCGATGGTCAGACAATATATCAGTTTAATTTTAATAGTAGAAAATGGCGTGTAGCAACAGGAGAAAGTTGTTGACCTTTTTGTGGTTAGGAAGGGGGGGAGGACACTCGTGGTCTAGGGGTTACGTTGTTCGCTTCTCATTCAATAGGTCTCGGCCTCGAAACTTGACAGCGATGGAAAATTTTCTCCTTTTACTTCCCTTTCCTGCTCTCATGTTTGTCGTCTGCTTTCGTGGCAGCGAGCGCGGTAAAACACTCTCAAAACAAAAACCAACAAACTGTGGCGGGAAAGTTGGAAGAATTTATAGAGGCAAGGTCTACGAAAATAATCCCCCTTTCGCCCGATGGACGGCGTGGAAAGTTCATTCCTAAGCAGTCTGGTCCAGGGCGTCCGGTTTTGGTGTGGGTGGGTTGCTTCTTTTTAGTACCTGTCGTCACTGGTCTGCTGGCGTTCATTCTTTTGCATTGGAAATCGGTCCGTTCTAACCGTTAGGCCTGACGCCGGTGTGGGTCTAGCCTTACCACATCAACCAACCCTACCCTCAACCCTAACGTTACCCTAACCCTACACCCAACCCTGAGCATTATTATGAGAAGTTTAAAACCTCATAACACAAAAATAACGACCCATTCTTGTTTATATCATGTATTATAATTTGTAGGTAGTAACATATATATATACTGGCTTTTTAGACCTTCCGTACTGATTTTGGGGACCATTGATTTTTGAGTTATAATGTAGATTTCAGAGTGGTCGCTCGTTTCGGAAGTCCTCCCGCGGAATTAAACACGAGAAAGTAAACAATTGCCCCTTCCCCTACAGTACAGTCAAAGCCAATGAGCATTAAGTTTGTGGTACGGTCTCAAAATTTAAAAAAATTATTTGTCTACTGAAACTGAGAAACTAGGACTAGGTGAACTGATAAAGCTTATATTTATATGGTGTGCCATTTATATGTGCGATTTATAACAACTGTAACAACGTTGGCAATCGGCGTTTAATTTGAAAAACTGCGAAATGTGGACTCGAGTGTACTTTTTTAACATGCAGCTCGGAAGTCTGTGGTGGGGAAAAAAGTTACAAGTGTGCATTTCATGTTTTCACAGACGGGCAGAAATTTTCAGGAGCATAGGTTCACTACTTTGTTTACAAGGCTGCTTTAAATTGATTCAGCATTTTATCTAGACATTTGGGACAAGTTTTACCTTGTTTTATCTGCTCAAAATCTCATTATTTCAATTTTGATGCCTTTGGTAGTCAAATGCTAGAATTTAAAGAGATTTAGGTCAACAGAATGGATTGTTTCAATCTTCATTTTAAAAAAGAATTATACAGTGGTTTTGAGTAGGCCCTACTTACTTCTTGGCTTGATGGATGCTTTTGTATTATATCTGAAAACTCTGAAAATGGTTTTGAAATTTCCATGGCTTTAGTTGTATTACTCTTCTTGTTGCTATTAAAACATTGCTATTTTCTTTTTTTAATATATATGAATTACTGAAAGTTAATGTGGTCCCTTTAAAAAAAAAAAAAAAAAAGAAAGAGCAGGGCAAGAAAAGGTTAAAGGTTTTCCATTTTGAAGTAGTAGGCCTAATATGGAAGTTAAATATATTTTGAGAGTTAAATGACAAGTAAAAAATTTTTTGGGACTCTTTCTTTTTCACATTTGAGTTCATTAGAAATTTATTTTAGAAGAATGAATGATCTGCATTTTACTAAGAGCCCATTGTCATTGATTGTATATTCTTCCCTCAGTAAACACAGTGGAGATTCCTGTGAAAGTGTACATTTATCATGTTAAGAAGTCAGACAGAGGAGATGGATTCAAAAAGAAAATGGCATGGCTACTACGTGATTTGAGAATGCTGGATGGAAGATCGGCAGACAAGGTATAGTCAAACTTTGAAAATGTGTCGAGAGCTTTTTATAAAATGAATTTAGACCAGTTATAGCCTTTGATTTTTTTTGATGCCTCACGTGATGGCTTTGCTTTTATATATGTCCATGTCCATCCCATTTGTTTAAGACCACACACACTTAATACTAACAAACATAGATATGAATGTATTTATATATATATAAAGTTTACTTTTGTGATGTGCGGGCAGAAAAGAATCTCATACATACGTAGAAGTTGAGAAAATTCCATCATTAAACTTGAGAGAAGTTACTGTTTATTTGGAATACAGAAAAAGCAGCAACAAAGACAACGATAAATGCTACCAATCTGACTCACTATTTAACTATTTATTTTAGCTTTCAGAATATTCATTGTTATTTGTTTCAATAGCGCAATAGGCCTGCATATTTCTTGCAACCTCAAGCAACTTTTTTGATAAACAATAAATTGTCTTGGGATTTTCAAAAGTGGTGACTTTATTGTGTCGAATGGAGTGGAAGTCCTCTTATTCGAAGTCAAATCCTAACAAAACATTTGACAGTAAAAAAGTAAAGTTGTTCCCACATCCGATCCGGACTTTGGGGATTGCCTTGTTAGTGAGACAACCTCCTGGGCCTTCCTCATATTGTGGTAGGGTGATTTGATAGTAACTATAGAATAAAAGAGCAAAATTAGAGCATTGATCATACGTTGTCCCTTAAGTTACAGAACTTGATTTTTTACAAAAATGTAAATTGAATAAACAAAAGGCATAAACTTTTGATGTACAATATCAGTAAATATTTTGTTGGTTAATAATTATTTGATACTTCAATAATTTTTGGGATCAGGTGCTGGTCCTTTTTTGTGCAGAGGTACAATTTTATGGCTTTCTGTCATGAATCAGGTACGGTAAATCTCTTTTACAAAACGTATAAATGTTATTATTAAATGATTCAACTAAAAAGTGGAACTGTTCTGTTGAGTCTTCTAGTGAATGTTGTAGTATAACCACAGTTGAGCTCAAGCCACTGAAATGGATGGTTCGACTGGGTTTTTTATCTCAGAGATGAACGAGCATGTATCAACAACAGTTGAGACTTTTGTCATTCAAATCAAATCTGATACAGGCAAGGCCCTAAACTGGTAAAGGATAGTCTCCACTACATGAGGGCATATACGGTTCTTTTTTTTAATAAGAAAAAAACCCTTGTCCTAAAGCAGAGACTATCCTAAAGTTGATCTGTGAGTCTGATTTTGTGAATTTCTACTTATATTTGAATCAAAAGCTGAGTCTCGACATTCCTCAGGACACTTCTGAGTTCGACTTACATTTTGAAAAAACCTACAAATGGTCGGCTTCAAGTCTGGAAGAAAAAGAGACTTTCATTTCATCACTATGGCGAGTAAGTTTTTCAGGGAGGTTATGTATATATGTGTACATTTTCTGATAATTTTGAATTTAGTGAAGATAGTGATAATGTACAACAGGGTTACACCCAGTTCCCAGAACGCATAAATTTATTTTTGCTTGTGAGTAGTAAAACTCTATGCTATATTTTTTCCCTGTCTAGCAACATACCGTTGTAATCTTGATTTATCATCATCATCACTGCCTTTCTCACCCTGGATCAGGGTATAGGCCACGGACAAACACTTTCCACCTTTCGCTAGCCTAAGCTGGCTTCTTGATGTTGTGATATGGATTTATACCACAGATAAATGAAGTTAGAATTTTCTTTTTTTTTTTACTTACTTCACTCCTTTTGGTATATTTTAATGGCTGAAGAGTTATGAAAAAGCATAAATTTGCAAAGCGATAAAGTGCTACCCGTTGATAAAAAAATTGTTCTTCATCCTTGACTGGAGTTTTGATTATTGTTTTTGTGTTGCAGAAAACTTTTTGATAACAAAGGAAAAATACTTGTATATCCTTAGTGCAGTCTAACACTTTCTCCCATTTTTTCTCCTGTTGAGATTTTTAAAAACTTTTGTAATCATTTTTCCAAATCTGACATTTGAGGATTATGTTTCAGGTCCTAGCATTTCTCGTTTATTTTGTTGAAGCAAACACTTTTCATATTCATCACTGATGTATTTTGTTGTCAAGTAAAAGCTTTTGAATTTAATCAAAGGCTGATAAGTTTTGTCATCATTACCTTCACAGTTTTCAAAATATTGTTACTTTTAACCTTTTAAAAAATATTTTCAGCTCAGTCACAGATTTCTCATTCAAAAGCCAGAGTTTGTCAACATTCCACAAAGACTACTGGAAGGTGAGAAACATGGAAAAATCTTGAGCAAAGTAGTCTTTGCGTAGTAACCTTAATGTTGCTCTAGAGTTTGGTCTTTGTGGATTGCACAAGTTTTGCGTGTATGTTTCCTGTGTGAGGTGCTTACCTCAGACACTACTGTTGCCTTTGTCCATCTCATCTTCATGGGGAAATGTGGCCAAAACTGTGCAGGGTGGGTGGTTGAAAAGTGCCACGAGTAGGTTCTACTTCTTTTCTTTCCCTGTGCTTTTTCCATCTGTCTCTTTTACTTTTTCCCTACACCAAATCACTTTCATTGTGCCAATGTGCTTTTCTACACAAACTTTTGTAGGCTCACTGTGAACTTCAACTCAGCCTAACCGAATTTAATGTATAATCTTAATACGTAGAAGCGATTTCTCAAGACTCATTTTTTAAGTTCTTAGTTATAGTGCGTTACTAAGTGCTGAAGTGCTTGTGTGCTTTGTTTTAACTGCTGTCCTTACATGTATTTGATTGAGCTAGTTTTCTTGTTACTCTGAACTTTTTTACCTTGTGTGAATTGCTCAATGATCATGTGATTGATGTAAAGCGTTCACAGCTTTCACTCGTATGGGATAGAGCGCTGTATTATAAATGCAATCTATTATTATTGTTATATTTTCCATATCTCAGAGATCAAAGACCCGCACAGTCTTGGGGAGAAGGCCAAAAGCGTGGACGACATCTCCATGGAGGGGGAAGACTACCAGGCTCTCTCCGGGAAGGAGGAGGCCGACCTTGAACTTCTTATGTCGGAATGTCAGGTGGCGATCAGCAACGCTGAGGCCTTCACGGAGCAACTTTCCAAGCAACTATCCGTGTTGGATGGGGTAAATAAGGATGTTTCTTTTTCCAGAAAATTCTGAAATCGATACTCTTTCCTATCTTGTTTTTATTTTATCATAAATGTTTCATGCCCCCTAAGCCCCCAATCAATACTATTTACGTTATTTAGGATACGTGCTGTTTCGACCTTGCCTGTCAGGGCCAACCCAAGCTGAGTGGGATGCAACATTCCGGAACGCAGGCAGAGATACTCTGTAAAAAAAATAATCATTTGTGAATCAAATTTACCTTCTGATGTACAGAAAAGTGGGAAGACATTGAATAATATCAAGAGGCTAGCCCGGGATAGAGAAAGGTGGAAAGTGTTTGTCCGTGGCCTATACCCTTAAGCAGGGTGACAAAGGCAATGATGATGATGAAGGAATCTTTAACAAAAAGAAAACAATGTATTTAGTTGAGACTGGATATGATATTTTATTGATTGTTCGCTCTAAGAAACTGACGTGGGACTTGTATGTTTTCCTCAGGCCAACATTCACTCTATCATGGGCTCAGAGGACCAAGTGCTTAACTTGATGCGTCTGCTCGATGATGGGATTCGAGAGGCTGAGATGATTGAAGATAAGCTGGACACTTACGACAAAATGCTGGCCGTAAGTAGAGGGCCTACTTTTTTAGGGAAAAGGAAGAAATTCTGGAGGAATGAATTCCTAGGGGGCAAAGCCTTGAGCAGAGTTTTCATAATACGTGTCGGTTTGTTGGGAATGACAATGCTCAGATTGTGAGCTAACTCAGTGACACGGTCTGCTACTCCTGTTGGAATATATTTACATTATACCTGTATTTTATGTTATTAGCTTTTACAGAGATACGATGCCATTTTTTTAGGGGGGTTCGTGTTATTTTTCTTAGCATTTGAATTCTGTCTACCCCATAGAAGTCATGTCTATTAACTGTCTTTTTGTCAGTTTGCAAATGGAACTTCATAAATTTTCTGGTATTTTTACAAAATCCAAGTGGCATTCCTGCTTTTAAAATGTCATAGTAAGGTTGTTTTTTTTACTGAGGGAAAGTGTATAGATTGTTATTGTTTGTGACCTATATAGAGAACATTTGGTAAAGAATTGTTATTCACTCAGGGTGTCAAATTGAATATGGCCCTATATTGATGACTTGTACTTTTCTAAGAAGTGAAATTGACTGTAATGTGATTTGGTGTGATTTCATTATTCTTGCTGACTTTGATTTTTTTGTACACAATATTCGCAACCTTTTGCCATGGTTTATCAAATTTTGTCAGAGTGAACGGTGAAATCGAACACCAATGTGAAAGCTTTATTTTTGTTTTTTTGCTGGACTTGAACATGAAATTACATCAACTGACTTTCTTTTATTTTTTCGGTGAAATTGAACTTGACTTGAGAATTGGTGACTTTTCTTTGGCACAGAACGTGAAAGAACAGATGGAGGTGATGCGAGACAAAGACACTCTGATGACTGTGAGGAACACCAACCACCAACGTCTGCTGGATGAACTTCAGAACCTTGTGGTCAGTTGCGCTTTTTTCTTTCAAAGATTTTTTTTTTTGGAGGACTCTGTCCTTTGTTAGTTTGTGCAATTGCACACAGCACTTTATTTGTTTTGAGTAGTCCCACTGTGGAAATGGCTAGCTTGAGCTTTTCCAAGGCAGAGCATATCGGTTTGTCTATGTGTGTGTGAGAGGGTCATACTTAAAAATGTGGTGTGAATGATTTTACTACTGGTAATAAAAAAGGTTTTGTGTTTTCGTAAAGCTGTTTGTAAATGGTAGCCATTGTTCTTTGTTTTCAGTTCAACACTTAAATATTAGGAATATCTCTTTAAGTATTTTAATTTTTTTCTTCAACAAAAGAATGTGAATGCTTTTTTAAAAATGCTGCTGTTTGAATACAAGAAAACTAAATTTTGAATTAAAATTTTCAAAGAATTGGATTTGCTTTTCAATATTTTTAACAAGTGATCAGGGTTCAGAAAGCTGTTTGGGATCCTGACTGATATGATGATGATGAGTTTGTTTTTCCTTTTCGTACAGGATCATCTAGACTTTGACCTGAAGTATACGCAGGCCCTGATGGATGGTGATCTGACCAGTCCAGCTGGTATCGTGGAGTGCACTCAGGCTGCTCAAGCATTGCACAGCTGTATGAATGCTCAGATACATCCCTGTAAGTTTCTTTTCGTTCTGTTGTGTCGGTTAAATAAAAGTATTCCTACACAGTAAGTGTCATTTGGCGTGTGGGGAAAAAAGCAAAGCATGAAGGGAGTGGAATATGAGTAGTCACTTCTAATGCAGCTGTGGAGTTGGGTTTAATTCTTTTGTACTGTATACTTCCCAGGAAGTTGAGATTGTTTCAGAATGCTATCAGGTTTGCTGGGGTAATGATATAGATTGTAAAAGGCATAGAGTTTGCTAAACAGTGGGATTTTGCGCTATACAAATACTATCTATTATTGTTTTTATTGTCTAGGCAGTCATGTTATTTTTTATGATTTGTTCCTCTCGGAATGAAAAGAAAGGATTAAATAAAAATGTCTTTTGTTTTGTCTTTATCCAGCTCTTCAAAGGACAAGAGCAGTAGAGGAACAGCAGAAACACTTTAAGAAATTGGCCATCCACTTCTCCAAGCGTCTCAGTCATCACTTGAACAACCTGTTTATCCATCAGGTGAGTGGAGCTCACACTCCTTGTGGCATGCTGCAGACCTAACAAGTAGTCCAATGAAATGGGAGCTTGAATTTCGTTTTCATTGGTCGTGAGCGCTTTATCGTAAATGACGTGAAAATATACCTGTTTATTTACGTTTGTTTGAAATGTACATGTTTATTTGCCATTATTGGTTTGCAATGTAATCTGAATCGGCAAAAGATGTAGAGACTGTATTTTTTCCCCAAGCTCTGATTTCAAGCGAGGAATCAGAGGAGGTCTATTTTTGTTTATGGAGGGGTTGGCAGGTGTGATTTTGCTTGCCTGTTGTTTGGTACTATTTTTTTAAAAATGAAGTAGTGTTGAATTAGCTGCTGTCCTTGTGTAAACAGCTCATCACTTTTCTAGTTGTTTTTTTTTTAGTAAGAGTTTTACAGAGCTCGCATCTGGAGAAGGTCATATGAGGGCGCAAAACACAAGTTACTTGCATTCACAACAGTTCACAGCACAGCTTGTTTTTGGTCAATAATCAGTTTAAAAATGTTTTTAAATTTTACGGTAAAAGTTACTTCAGTCAGTCTTTCTCTTTTCTGTCTTAAAGCAAAACGTAGTTTCTGTTGGTTTTATTAGCCTTATTTGACTTTTTTAGACCTGTAAATGTGAAGAGGTACAAATTGTATTGTCTATTGTGATGATGTAGTGGGTGCTGATTGTCTTAGATTGAACTGGTGGTGTTTGTACAGATTTAAATTACTGATCATAACTTTCACTGCCAGTACAGATTATGATGTCATCAGTAAGCTTTGCATTTGTGAGTACTCAAGTTTAAAGTTCAGTTTGCAGTTTCATTTATTTTCTGAATTTTGTTGCTGTTGAGATGATCTAAAAGAGATAATTTGTTAAATTTTGAAGAAAAAATATAAGTGGGAGGTTAGAGGGGGCCACTGGTAGGCCCTACTTTTTTAGCTATCTTTCTGTATTTCATGTCTATTTATGTGAGGGTTGTTGGAGCCACAACTTCTAGATTATTCCTCTTTTCTCTATCTCCGTTGTTTCTATGCTTGTCTCTTCTTGCTTTTTCCAAGCGCCAAGAGACTGTTATTCTGTTAATGTGCTTGTTTTGAATGTGATTCATCGTTAAAAAGCCTTGACAGTTAAGTCTATTTTTATCTTGGGCAGAACCCAGCCTTGTTCCTCTTTTTATTCTGGGGACTCTGATGGTTGCTGTTGGTTCACATGCTTTTCTTTTAACTTTCCTTTTTGGTTTTTCTGTTTGTAGGTGGGCAACTCAATGGTTAGATATAAACAATGATAGGGACTTGTGAAATATCTAAAAAATTATGCTGAGAATTCTAAATCAACTGAATGTAAGCTTATTAGATTCTGTAAATTGTTTTGTTGGAGAGTGAGTTTTTTGGACAGCGAAATGAATTGCTTCACAGTATGTTTTTCTTCATTTATTACAAAAAAGTTTTTTCCTTTTTCCTCGGATGCCAAGTTACGCCATAATTGCTTGCTGTTTTCATGTTACATTTTCTTTTGTACCCCTTTGAACGAGTTTGAATTAATGCAGGCATGGGTATGGGGAAAAGCTCACAGAGGAAAAAGGCCTGTTGGGGTGTGCAAAAGAATTTGTATCATCGTCAAAATGCAAGGATAAAGAAACATTAACTGTGGCCCTGTAAAAGTTTGAAATGTATATCTACCAGGGCAATGAGATTGGGGAGACTCTCAGCCGTTATGCTGGAGACCTGAAGATGCCACAGCACAACTCTATACACAAAGAACTGGTCATCTACGCTGACCTCATGCTGTGGCTGAAGAACACTGATGAGACGAGCTTCCACAAACTTTCTGCTGTGAGTAGACTGCGCTAGGAGTCAGCTGAAGTCGTTTCTGTTTTTAAATTAATAAGATGAATATTTGGAGTAATTTTGTTTCTGTCAAAACACGTTTTATGTTACTGTTGTACATTGTACTGTATTGTAAAGCGCTCAGAGCCTGTGTACTTAAATCGGGGTTGAGCGCTATATAAATGTCATTTATTATTATTAGGTTAATGGGACAGTCATGTGAAGAAGACTTCAGGAGGAAAATGACTTTAGTCACATTAATAATATTGAGGACCGCTGCTTTTCTGTCTCATGTTCATATGGACAACTGCTGTTCTTTCTATTTGCAACTGTTTTATATGTGTCACTAACATGTGGCTGCAGCTGTTACTGTTCGCAATGGTATTGACGGACAAAGTGTAACAAACAAGATATCGAGGTTTAATTGCCACCATTTTTCTCATGTTTTCATCAGTAGAGGTGTAGAGTCTTGTTGCCTTAGCTTTGCTGGATGGACTTATGTTTACTAAATCTAACTTCTCGTCTAAATGTTTGGGTATAAACCTGTTTCAACATTGTAAAGTTGTTGGAGAAATGGAACCCTGGAATGTAACCTCCATCTACAGTTGGCTAAAGCTGGTGGGTACAGAGCCTTGCAACTCTTAAAACAATTCATGGCCTTCTGCATCCTTGCTCCACGTGATTCTAAGTGAACTGATGGCACACTTTCTGCCTGTTACGCTGTATTGCTGTAATGCTTAAATGCAGTTTGAATAAAATAGAAATCAGGTAAGGAATGGTGATTAGGCAGTCAAATGTGTGATGAAACATTTGTTTCTGTGTATTCTGCAGGTGTACATGAGTAACTTGTGTAAACTGTACACGAGAGAGGTCATGGAGTTCATGGAGTCTGCCAAACAGAAACTGGTCACCACCAAAGAGACCAAAGGAAAACACCATGGTAAGATGCAGCAAGTGGCTCAGACACAGCTCTCATTACAGTCGAAGCTGTCCAAGACAACCAAACATTGTTGAGAAGAAGAGTGATCATCTTAATTCCTTATCTCCGGCAAGCTGCTTCCATTGGCTCACGATTGGAACCACTGTGCCAGAGAGCTAATGGCACAGTCCTTTATGACGACTTTGACGTCAAATTTGTTTTTGGCAATTGCCACAAACAGGTCTCTTTTACAACGAGTTTTTTCAATAGATGAAAAACTATCAAAACAGAAGTTCACTTGTTTTGATTTAATGACCAATTTAGTGATGTATTTGTCTCTTTTTGATTTCGTACCAAAAGAGGGCCCCAGCATAGTGGTGTTACCCCTCTCAGAGATAAAGAGTTAAACAGGTGGTCCTGTACGACAGGGTCACTATATAATATAGAAAGAAATGCAAGGAGGGTCAAGTAGTTATATTGTTTTGGGAACCTTGTTCCTGTGAAAAGAAAGAGTTGTCTTTGTGATGATCCCATATTTTTGTCCCTCCATAGGTGCGTCGACTTTGTCACGTCTGACGGGATCCACCACCAGCCTGACCAAGATTGACCACCGCGGCCGGTCTGGGTCCATTCAGAGCGTGGACTCTTCCTCCATCAAATATGGCTCTGACTTGGACATTGCCATGCGCAGCGTTTTCGACTCAGTGAGTCCATAAGTTGTCTTGTGTTATCTCTGTGAGTTTACATCCTTGTCTTTTGTTTTTTTGATTTCCTGAGTTCTCAAAGTCTTTTGTTTTTATTTACGCTTGTCCGTTGATTTTGTCCTTTGATTATTTAGATCAGTGGGTTCATACACTTGTCTTTTGGTTTTGAGTCAGTGAATTCATACACTTGTCTTTTTTTTTTGGATTCACTGAATCACAAAGTCTTTTGTTTTTTTAATGCTTGTCCTTTGATTTTTTAGATCAGTGAGTTCATACACTTGTCTTTTGATTTTTGAGTCAGTGAGTTCATACACTTGTCTTTTGATTTTTGAGTCAGTGAGTTCATACACTTGTCTTTTGATTTTTGAGTCAGTGAGTTCATACACTTGTCTTTTGATTTTGAGTCAGTGAATTCATACACTTGTCTTTTGGTTTTGAGTCAGTGAGTTCATACTCTTGTCTTTTGTTTAAGAGAGTTACTCTCTTTTGTTGTTTTGAGTCAGTAAGTTCACATAGTTTCCTTTTGTTTTTAAAGATTGATCTGGTTGCCGCCTTGGTGTTTTGGGGGATGTAGGTTGTCTGCTCCCTTTTTTTCCCCTGCTTTCTGTTGTTGTGTTCTCTTCCTGGTGAAATGATATACCCTGCTTGCTATCTTACCACATCTTTCTACCACTCAATATCTGCTACAATTGAAGAGGTTTAGTCCAAAAATAGGGTAAGTCACGTTTATCTTATCCTGTCGTGACTTAGCTTATTTTTCACTTTGTATTGATAGACTTGGCTTGTTTTTAACTTGATTTATCTCTTTACAAAACTAGTTTGTGAACCACTTTTTGAGTTGTTTTTTTTTTACTTGTTTGATTTCATAGTAGTATTCTACAGGTACTTTTTAAAATTATGGGTTAGTCCCTGATTTTTTTCTAAAAATGGACTTACCCTGTTTATCACTTGACCCCTTCAGATTCTTTTAATAATATTTGTGTTTCACCAGGTACTGGAGAAAGTTTTGTCTGAATTGGAGAGAGTTTGCATCGCAGAGCAGGATTTTTGTTTCAAGTTTTTCCATCTCATCGATAAAAGTTCAGGAGTTGATGATGATCAGAAGAAGGTAAGCCGGAAAGCCATCCTACAAGTACAAGAAATATATAAAGAGACACATGGTATGGAAATAATGCAGTAATGATTAACCTTGAAAAAGACAGTGAAGTGGAAAGAAAGAGGTTATGAAATATGCAATCCCTTTTTCAGAGATTTTTGTGGACACTGAGCTGTTTGATTATTTTAAAGTATTTTCTCTGTAATCTTATAATCTTTCATTTTTTTCTCCATTGTGTCTGAAATAATACTCTACAGAAAGTCACTTTACTTTAGTAAGCTAAATGAGTAACATAAGACAGTTGCTGGGTTTTACACCATCATTTCCTATGTCATTCTTTACAGTTTACAGTTTTGTCCTTCTTTTGAAAGAAGTATTTTGTTGGTCTTCAGTGTATTAACTTCTTATCTTTGGCAAGCTGCTCTCAGCGGCTTGCAGTCGGAACTGCTGTGCCAGTGATCCGCTGGCAGCGGCTTGGTCACATTCCTTTACTACGTTGATGTTATATTTATTTTCGGCAATTGAAGAATTATCAAAATAGGTTCATATCTCTTGATTTAATTACCAATTTAGTGACGTGTATGTCACTCTAAGGTATCGTACCAAAAGAGGGCTCTGGCATAGTGAGAACCCCCCCCCCCCCCTTCAGAGATAAAGAATTAATGATGAGCAACGTTAACGGTAGGACACACTGACAGTAATGTTTGTTGTTTCTTGTCTTCATTTCATCAGGAGAAGGAGGCGTCTGGGGAGGCTGCGAGCGGGGATGGAGATGCTGACGTGTGGGTGGCCAAACAAACTTATTCTGCCTCAGAGTATGTGCACCCTTTACTTCACTGGATCTTGCCATAATGTCTTGGGCACGTACACTCAGGAATTAACCTTTAACCTTTTTTTAAAAAATTGCTCGCTTGGGAAACTTGTAAAGGCATAACTGCATCTGAGCATGAAATGATTGTGTGAGACAGTGCTTCTCAAACTTGTCCCTGTACTCCCTGACTGAAAAATGTTAAGTCATCTGAAAGTTCACTGAGACAAAGTCATTGCTTTTTTCATTTGGTTTATCGAGTCCCTTGTTGTAAACTCAGTCCCATTCCCCCGCTGTAGAGCGTCCTTGTGGCCTTCTCTTGCGTTATGCCCCCCTCAGGTTTGGGAACCACTGATGTAAGGTACAAGGATCTAACTGAGATGTTGTGAGTCCTGAGTATTGTTACTATGTAGTCATAGCGTTTTCCGGCATGTTTGTATACTACTAAGCACAGTATTTGGACTATGCCATTGAGAAAAGATTGACAACTGTCCTCACTATAAATACATGTACCAGTATCAGTTTGAGTTCATTCTAAGACGTCAGAGACCTTTATAGAACTTCAGAGTAGCAAAATGTTTTGAGTTAGTTTGAGATTGGCATTTACAGCTATTTTTTAAAAAGTTTCCAATTACATTTGTTGGCAACTGAGACGTAGTGCGAGTCTTTTTTGTCAGGACTTAAGTCTAAGAGTTTGATTTGTAGCTTATTTTAATGATATGCAGGGATTTTTTGCGGGGACTGGTTCTGTCTGTGCCCAATTGCTTTGAGCAATATTTGGCTCAGGGTATTCATATTTAAAGATTGTCTTTTTGCATATTGATAATAATACAATGGCTGTCTGCCATTATGCCTTCTCCTAACACTGTAGATTAATAAGTGGCATCTTGTCCATTTTTTTTCCCCCATTGGATTTTCTTTTTTCAATTTTTTTTTTTTGTGAAAGCTTTTATCTTGCAGACTGTACTAAGACTCTGTCAGTAGAGAAGTTACCAGATGACGTCGAGTCTCGGCTTATCTAAAATATTCTGGAAATGACATCCTTCGGATTTTCTGTCTGAAGTGAAGATTGGAGGGAAGATTAGATTGGTAGGTTGATAGAAAGGAGAAGAAGGGAAGATAAAAAATGTGTTTGTTTGTGTACAAAGATGTTCTCTTGTCTCATCGTCCTTGATATAATACAGTTATGAATCAGACTCTGTATTCATCCTAGTGCAGTGTTTTCATCTTTTGAATTATAGACATGTAGTGAAAGATTATACCCCAAACTGGTTTTGAATGTAGTCATCTCAAGAATGCTGTTGTGGGAATCTTGAGTATATTCCATCATTTGTTTTTTTTTAGCAGTTTGAGGTTTTTATCTGTGACAGTTGGAATCTTTTATTTCCTGTTTCTTTAAATTGTTGCCAGAAAAAATACCCGGCATGGGTTTCTGCACTTTAAGTTGTTTTTTTAAATTCTTTCTAAGGAGAAGAAGCTTTTTGCAGTTTGGTGAAAATCATTGTCTGTTGGACTAAAGGCTGATTGATTAGAACAAATTTTGTTCCGAAACTAATTCAGTTCGATATTGACTTTTTTTTTGGTGTGGATTTTTTTACTTTTTGAAAGATGATTTACGGTTATTACTAGCAAATGTAAAAGGATGAAATGTTCTTGTTCTTTCTTTGCCTCTAAACTCCTGTCAGTCTGTGTGCATCTATTTGATCACAACGTAGTAACCTATGAGGTTTATATAAATTTATATCTTGTTCTAAATACTCATAATATCTATATATGCAATAACATTCATAGCATCTTTTTTAGTCAGTCTTCGCTAGAATTGTTGAATGACATTTCCCTTGTCTTATTTGTACCAAGGGGAATGTACTTGTACTGTAGTGGATTTCAATTTGTTGTTCTAATTGACAAAATTGGAATTGAATTAAGTACCATGACCTGTGTAGTACAATTCTCTAAAAATTTGTCCACTGTGATAAAGACATTTCTACTTTCCTTAATATCAGTTGTGTGTTCAAGTTCTCCTATCTGTTTTTGATGGGTATATAAAGAGGCAATTTATATTGCTAGAAGAATATGATCTAAAGCAAGACTCTGCTTATAATTATAGATGTTACAGATGTTAGTTGCCTCTACGTGCAAGAGCCTTCAGTAAGTTATTTAGAGAACACACAGTAACAGCTTGGTAACAAAAATTTCTCAAGACCAGAGTATTCCTTCCTATCCTGTTAATCAGATGTCATGTTGAGGGAAGTTGCCATGCATAAATAAAATGGGCTGACAAATCCCTCAGGAATCTGAAAATCTTTTCGTGGTAACAGGAATTTTGTGTTAAACAGCTTCCCTTTAAACAAAGTCTACTGTATTTCGCGAATTCGTCAGAAGTACTTCTTTTAATATTTTTTATATAAAGTCTGTGAAGTCCACTATAGTGACATGTTTGTACGTACGTCACAGCTGTGCAAAAGACCACTCTTGGATAGGGTTACTCTCTTACTCTGAGCTTTCACCATGAATAGCCTACTTCTTAAATGGTCTGTTTCAAATACGAGGTGAATTTATGCTCACGGGAAAAGAAGAAAAAAAGTGTTTTCCTTTGCTGAAGTGGGGGAAGAATGAATTTATGCTCAAGAAAAACGAAAAAAAATGTTTTCCTTTGCTGTTGGTAGGGAAATAGGTCTTTTTTATAGTTTGTTTGACTTTCATTTATTTGAACTGTAATATAAATAAACCTTTTGGCCGAAGTCGCTGATGAGTCACCTGGCTGGTGACTTGAAATTGTAATGTGGACCTATGCACAGTCGTGATACACTCTAGGACACCATTGTACCAGAAATGAGTTTTTAAATTCTTTCAAGTCCAAACCCTTCTCACCTCTGGTTTTTTTGGGGGGGGGGTTTTAACTCTACTAAAAATATTACTACCCTTATAAAGTAATTTCAAAGTGCCAAATATTTTTGGTAATTGGTGTTCTATTGTGTTTGGATAACTGTTGTTGTTGCACTTGCACTAACCCTAACCCCTGTACATATGCTGCGAACTGATGACTAACCTGGTTTCTTGTAGGGGCCAATACATAACTGAAAATTTAGGTGAGGGTCTCATGCAGACCAGGGCTACTGTCACCTTGGAGATGTGAGTATAACCCTGAGCTGTGGTATGCTAATGTATGAGTTTAACACCCCTTTTTGTTTGTTGTAGTTAAAGTTTTACAGCACTTGTAACACAATTAGGTCATATAAATGCTGAAAATTAGAGGTGTTACAAGAGACTAACAAATATGGTAAAAAAGGAGGAGTGATAAGGATGATAGGTATTTGATAGGAAAGAAGGAGTAAATCACACTGGAGTAAGAGCACCTGCCGCCCACCTACCCGCCCCTTTCAACACAGGAAGGTTACATTTGGTGAAATCCCTCCAATTTATTATGATCTGTTACACTAGGAATAAGTCCAGGTGGAGTGAGAGCTATGAAAACTTTTCCGCTGATCTGGGTTCAAGAAGGCTTCAAGGAAGATTCAAATGTGGGAGGTTTTTTTTGGTACTGCAGACCAGGATCATGGCAGCCGATCTACTGGATTAGGTCTTTCCCCTCATGTGTGTGCCACATTTGTGTTTTTGAGGAATAGCTTAGGCAGTAGGGTTTTAGACTAAAACAAGTTATAAGTGATGGTTGTAGGGGAGCTTGCGAATCTTGTGATTTTTTTTCGTTGCTAGTCTGCATTTAAAACATTTGTTTTTGGGGGCAGGGTTCTGGAAAAATTCCTGTACTCACACTGAAGATCTTTTAAATGAGGTGCTTTTTTTGGAGTAGCCTAATGTGGGTGGTGGTTGTATGTCAATGATGCCTACAAACTTTAGCTTCTCTCTCTCTCTGGTCTTTAAAAAAAATGTTAGTGCTGAGCTAGATCTCCTCTTTTTCTTTTTCATAGAATTCACTCTTACTACTCTTGGGCACTCCTTATTTTCGGACTCTAGTGAACCGGAAAGTCTTTTCCTTGACTTTCCTTATTGCTGTCACTCTTTACCAAACAAGGTAGTGATCTTCTTGTCCTGCTATTATGCTGCTAATTTCAACTAACTTTGTACTGCCTGCCATTTCATCACCTCTGGTTCCAAATTCTAAAAATGTCTTTTGAGTCTGTGTCTTTCCCTTGTAGAATAACCATGAAGTGATATAATACTTTTAGCTCCGCATTGATATGTTTTTGCCAGTCAGCTTCAGGGTCGTCAATTTTCCTTGATCATGTGTTGTTTTTTTCCCCAGTCTTTTTGCTTTTTCTGGTTTGTTTTTTTGACGAATTAATATTTTGGGGCTATCAGTTCACAAAGAAACAGCATGTTTCTTTATACTCTTTCATTTTTGACTGTGTACTTAAAATGAAATGAGTTCACCATCCACACCATGGTACACTTGCATGATGGTTAGTTGCATTAAAAACCTTGTATCTATCGGTCTCTCTTTCTCTCTCTCTGTCTATTTCTCCCTCTCTCTCTCTCCCTTTTGTATCTCTCCTTCTCTCTCTCTCTTTCTCTCTCTTTCTCTCTCTCTCTCTCTCTCTCTCTCTCTCTCTCTCTCTCTCTCTCTCTCCTGTGTTTACATGGCACAACTTCCACTCCCCCTCCCTGCATGTTACACTTTGCAAATGACTTGTCTTGTAAATGACTTGTGCTGTATTGCCAGAATGCATTTTGTCTTGATCTTGTGGGTGGTTGATTGGTACCTATTGAACAGCCTACTCTACATCTTCACTGTCCTTCTTTGTTTCTGTCTCACTGGCCTTTTTTTTTCTTTCCAGCGCTCAGTGACCCTTATGGTTTTGATGTGCTTCACTTTTATTAAAATATGGATAGTTCGAATTTCTAGGTCTTTACTGAACTGAACCTTTAGCATTTTTATAACTTTTGAAAAAATTAAGATGGTGTTGAACATAGTAATCAGAAGGGATTTTTTTGCGTGGTTTTTTTTTTTGGTTTTTTGTTTTGCTGTCAGCAGCACTCTGTATTGAGTTTTTTTTAAACCTCTTTTAGTGGCATATTTACTTGCCAGTGTTAGCAAATAAATGACTAGGGTTTGTTTTTGTTGGGGTGGGTGGGAAGGTGGGGGGGAGGCAGTATGATGGGAATTTTATTCTTACCAGTTTAAAAAAAACAACAACTTTCGAACGAAAAAAGTACTTTTGATCATGGGTCTTAATGACAGTTGCTTGACTGTGATAAGTTTTAGAATAACATACATTCTTTACAATGTGTAATATGCTTTATGTGGCTAATATTGGCAAATATCAGCCATGGACAAAAGAGTTGCTGATATCTGTTTGTAAGAACGATATTTCTTTTGCTTTAAAAATGGCTTCCCCCCCTTGCTTCGCTACATGCTTCCTTGTCTAACAGCAAACATTTGCTTCATCTAATTCTGATAGTGGAATAATTAAAGACACCATTGCTTTGTATGATTTTCAAATAGATAATTGATTATTTAATGTGCAGTTCCTCAAGCTGAGAAGTAGTAGAAATGATTCGGGGTACTGCTCCCTTCCCCCCCCCTCCCCTTTCTCCTGTTTTGGAAGGCAAAGGGGTTGGGATTCAGTTGTTTTTTTCCTCTCAGATTTTGCTTTACTCTCCACTTGACTGACATAGTGGTGGAGAAAACAATTCTGAGCAGTCAAGAGTTATACTTCACTCCTTTTGTATTAACTCTAGTGTACTTAGCCTTTCATTCACTTCAACTTAGTGGTATGGGTTTAGAATATAAAGAGTTGGTTCTTACGTTGTTTGAAAGACGATGATTTAACTGTTATTGTTTTTTCCATCCCTGTTCTCTCGGTGCTACAGGAGACAAATCAATGATCAAGTGAGGTGAGTTATGTACTCTACCTTAAATTAGATCCTTTTTTTTTTCTTTGAACTTTTTTTTAAAGATTTAATGCGAATTACAAAATATGAAATGTGTCATTTCATAAGATTGCCATATTTTCACCCTTAGATTTGAATTTAATATTTCGGACATCTTACTACAGAAACTTCTTTTTGTTAGCGTTGAAAGAACAGTACATAATCAAAGAGTTTGCGCTGTCCAGCATATGCGTCACGATGCGGTGGAATCAGGTGCTCGTCAATAATTTTTGGGCTGGGCATATGTAGTTTTTCTTATAATCCTAAAGCCTGTTTGTCTTTCTTTTGATGAAAAAAGTAGGCTTACCCATCTACCTTGAATAGAAGTCAGGAAATTTGCAACTAATGGAGAAGGGGGTCGCCTGGTGTCAGAAGTAAAATTATCAAAAAATGACCACCCAACTTTAATGATTACTAAAGTTTGAGAGTCCTTGGAAACTGCAGGTTTACATTTTTTGTGCCTTTGATCAACGGTTTACAGTAACAGAAATAAGTTTTTAAGTAAACATAAAATGTGATGAGTCAAAAAATGAAAATAAAGAATAAAAAAATTGCCACGGTCAGAAAAATGCTGATTTCTTTGAATAATTCATTAGTTTGACGAGTGTGTGATTTCACCACGCTGCCTCTCATGTCATGCTGACTCAGTTAACGATAACTCGAGAGCAACCTTGCCTTAGTTTCAGTTTGTTCTTCCCCTCGACAGGTCGATGATGGCAGAGTTATTCCCCCAGCTGGAGCAGGAGTTGGACCAGTTCCTCACACACGCTGATCGCCAGGATGGCATGTGAGTGAGGGAGTTAGTCAGTCTTGTTCTAGGAGGAGCAGAGAGAGAAAAAGAGATAGGGAAGAGAGGGAGAGAGTGAGGGAATTTGCCATCAATTACTCCCTTTCATTCTAGGAGAGGCAGAGACTGTCAAGGGAAAACTCACCGTTTTTAATTGTTCTGTTGTTATACCTTCCGGAGAGAG